ATCTTTTTCTCTTCCTTTAAGTCTTCCTCTCCTTTCTTTCCCTTTTTTCTCTTTCTCTAACTCTCCATCTCTCTTCCTCTATGTTTCTCTCTTCCTCTAACTCTCCCCCTCTTTTCTCTATCTTTTTCTCTTCCTCTATTTTTCTCTGTTCCTCTAACTCTCCCCCTCTTTGCTCTATCTTTTTCTCTTCCTTTAAGTCTTCCTCTCCTTTCTTTCCCTTTTTTCTCTTTCTCTAACTCTCCATCTCTCTTCCTCTATGTTTCTCTCTTCCTCTAACTCTCCCCCTCTTTTCTCTATCTTTTTCTCTTCCTCTATTTTTCTCTGTTCCTCTAACTCTCCCCCTCTTTGCTCTATCTTTTTCTCTTCCTTTAAGTCTTCCTCTCCTTTCTTTCCCTTTTTTCTCTTTCTCTAACTCTCCATCTCTCTTCCTCTATGTTTCTCTCTTCCTCTAACTCTCCCCCTCTTTTCTCTATCTTTTTCTCTTCCTCTATTTTTCTCTGTTCCTCTAACTCTCCCCCTCTTTGCTCTATCTTTTTCTCTTCCTTTAAGTCTTCCTCTCCTTTCTTTCCCTTTTTTCTCTTTCTCTAACTCTCCATCTCTCTTCCTCTATGTTTCTCTCTTCCTCTAACTCTCCCCCTCTTTTCTCTATCTTTTTCTCTTCCTCTATTTTTCTCTGTTCCTCTAACTCTCCCCCTCTTTGCTCTATCTTTTTCTCTTCCTTTAAGTCTTCCTCTCCTTTCTTTCCCTTTTTTCTCTTTCTCTAACTCTCCATCTCTCTTCCTCTATGTTTCTCTCTTCCTCTAACTCTCCCCCTCTTTTCTCTATCTTTTTCTCTTCCTCTATTTTTCTCTGTTCCTCTAACTCTCCCCCTCTTTGCTCTATCTTTTTCTCTTCCTTTAAGTCTTCCTCTCCTTTCTTTCCCTTTTTTCTCTTTCTCTAACTCTCCATCTCTCTTCCTCTATGTTTCTCTCTTCCTCTAACTCTCCCCCTCTTTTCTCTATCTTTTTCTCTTCCTCTATTTTTCTCTGTTCCTCTAACTCTCCCCCTCTTTGCTCTATCTTTTTCTCTTCCTTTAAGTCTTCCTCTCCTTTCTTTCCCTTTTTTCTCTTTCTCTAACTCTCCATCTCTCTTCCTCTATGTTTCTCTCTTCCTCTAACTCTCCCCCTCTTTTCTCTATCTTTTTCTCTTCCTCTATTTTTCTCTGTTCCTCTAACTCTCCCCCTCTTTGCTCTATCTTTTTCTCTTCCTTTAAGTCTTCCTCTCCTTTCTTTCCCTTTTTTCTCTTTCTCTAACTCTCCATCTCTCTTCCTCTATGTTTCTCTCTTCCTCTAACTCTCCCCCTCTTTTCTCTATCTTTTTCTCTTCCTCTATTTTTCTCTGTTCCTCTAACTCTCCCCCTCTTTGCTCTATCTTTTTCTCTTCCTTTAAGTCTTCCTCTCCTTTCTTTCCCTTTTTTCTCTTTCTCTAACTCTCCATCTCTCTTCCTCTATGTTTCTCTCTTCCTCTAACTCTCCCCCTCTTTTCTCTATCTTTTTCTCTTCCTCTATTTTTCTCTGTTCCTCTAACTCTCCCCCTCTTTGCTCTATCTTTTTCTCTTCCTTTAAGTCTTCCTCTCCTTTCTTTCCCTTTTTTCTCTTTCTCTAACTCTCCATCTCTCTTCCTCTATGTTTCTCTCTTCCTCTAACTCTCCCCCTCTTTTCTCTATCTTTTTCTCTTCCTCTATTTTTCTCTGTTCCTCTAACTCTCCCCCTCTTTGCTCTATCTTTTTCTCTTCCTTTAAGTCTTCCTCTCCTTTCTTTCCCTTTTTTCTCTTTCTCTAACTCTCCATCTCTCTTCCTCTATGTTTCTCTCTTCCTCTAACTCTCCCCCTCTTTTCTCTATCTTTTTCTCTTCCTCTATTTTTCTCTGTTCCTCTAACTCTCCCCCTCTTTGCTCTATCTTTTTCTCTTCCTTTAAGTCTTCCTCTCCTTTCTTTCCCTTTTTTCTCTTTCTCTAACTCTCCATCTCTCTTCCTCTATGTTTCTCTCTTCCTCTAACTCTCCCCCTCTTTTCTCTATCTTTTTCTCTTCCTCTATTTTTCTCTGTTCCTCTAACTCTCCCCCTCTTTGCTCTATCTTTTTCTCTTCCTTTAAGTCTTCCTCTCCTTTCTTTCCCTTTTTTCTCTTTCTCTAACTCTCCATCTCTCTTCCTCTATGTTTCTCTCTTCCTCTAACTCTCCCCCTCTTTTCTCTATCTTTTTCTCTTCCTCTATTTTTCTCTGTTCCTCTAACTCTCCCCCTCTTTGCTCTATCTTTTTCTCTTCCTTTAAGTCTTCCTCTCCTTTCTTTCCCTTTTTTCTCTTTCTCTAACTCTCCATCTCTCTTCCTCTATGTTTCTCTCTTCCTCTAACTCTCCCCCTCTTTTCTCTATCTTTTTCTCTTCCTCTATTTTTCTCTGTTCCTCTAACTCTCCCCCTCTTTGCTCTATCTTTTTCTCTTCCTTTAAGTCTTCCTCTCCTTTCTTTCCCTTTTTTCTCTTTCTCTAACTCTCCATCTCTCTTCCTCTATGTTTCTCTCTTCCTCTAACTCTCCCCCTCTTTTCTCTATCTTTTTCTCTTCCTCTATTTTTCTCTGTTCCTCTAACTCTCCCCCTCTTTGCTCTATCTTTTTCTCTTCCTTTAAGTCTTCCTCTCCTTTCTTTCCCTTTTTTCTCTTTCTCTAACTCTCCATCTCTCTTCCTCTATGTTTCTCTCTTCCTCTAACTCTCCCCCTCTTTTCTCTATCTTTTTCTCTTCCTCTATTTTTCTCTGTTCCTCTAACTCTCCCCCTCTTTGCTCTATCTTTTTCTCTTCCTTTAAGTCTTCCTCTCCTTTCTTTCCCTTTTTTCTCTTTCTCTAACTCTCCATCTCTCTTCCTCTATGTTTCTCTCTTCCTCTAACTCTCCCCCTCTTTTCTCTATCTTTTTCTCTTCCTCTATTTTTCTCTGTTCCTCTAACTCTCCCCCTCTTTGCTCTATCTTTTTCTCTTCCTTTAAGTCTTCCTCTCCTTTCTTTCCCTTTTTTCTCTTTCTCTAACTCTCCATCTCTCTTCCTCTATGTTTCTCTCTTCCTCTAACTCTCCCCCTCTTTTCTCTATCTTTTTCTCTTCCTCTATTTTTCTCTGTTCCTCTAACTCTCCCCCTCTTTGCTCTATCTTTTTCTCTTCCTTTAAGTCTTCCTCTCCTTTCTTTCCCTTTTTTCTCTTTCTCTAACTCTCCATCTCTCTTCCTCTATGTTTCTCTCTTCCTCTAACTCTCCCCCTCTTTTCTCTATCTTTTTCTCTTCCTCTATTTTTCTCTGTTCCTCTAACTCTCCCCCTCTTTGCTCTATCTTTTTCTCTTCCTTTAAGTCTTCCTCTCCTTTCTTTCCCTTTTTTCTCTTTCTCTAACTCTCCATCTCTCTTCCTCTATGTTTCTCTCTTCCTCTAACTCTCCCCCTCTTTTCTCTATCTTTTTCTCTTCCTCTATTTTTCTCTGTTCCTCTAACTCTCCCCCTCTTTGCTCTATCTTTTTCTCTTCCTTTAAGTCTTCCTCTCCTTTCTTTCCCTTTTTTCTCTTTCTCTAACTCTCCATCTCTCTTCCTCTATGTTTCTCTCTTCCTCTAACTCTCCCCCTCTTTTCTCTATCTTTTTCTCTTCCTCTATTTTTCTCTGTTCCTCTAACTCTCCCCCTCTTTGCTCTATCTTTTTCTCTTCCTTTAAGTCTTCCTCTCCTTTCTTTCCCTTTTTTCTCTTTCTCTAACTCTCCATCTCTCTTCCTCTATGTTTCTCTCTTCCTCTAACTCTCCCCCTCTTTTCTCTATCTTTTTCTCTTCCTCTATTTTTCTCTGTTCCTCTAACTCTCCCCCTCTTTGCTCTATCTTTTTCTCTTCCTTTAAGTCTTCCTCTCCTTTCTTTCCCTTTTTTCTCTTTCTCTAACTCTCCATCTCTCTTCCTCTATGTTTCTCTCTTCCTCTAACTCTCCCCCTCTTTTCTCTATCTTTTTCTCTTCCTCTATTTTTCTCTGTTCCTCTAACTCTCCCCCTCTTTGCTCTATCTTTTTCTCTTCCTTTAAGTCTTCCTCTCCTTTCTTTCCCTTTTTTCTCTTTCTCTAACTCTCCATCTCTCTTCCTCTATGTTTCTCTCTTCCTCTAACTCTCCCCCTCTTTTCTCTATCTTTTTCTCTTCCTCTATTTTTCTCTGTTCCTCTAACTCTCCCCCTCTTTGCTCTATCTTTTTCTCTTCCTTTAAGTCTTCCTCTCCTTTCTTTCCCTTTTTTCTCTTTCTCTAACTCTCCATCTCTCTTCCTCTATGTTTCTCTCTTCCTCTAACTCTCCCCCTCTTTTCTCTATCTTTTTCTCTTCCTCTATTTTTCTCTGTTCCTCTAACTCTCCCCCTCTTTGCTCTATCTTTTTCTCTTCCTTTAAGTCTTCCTCTCCTTTCTTTCCCTTTTTTCTCTTTCTCTAACTCTCCATCTCTCTTCCTCTATTTTTCTCTCTTCCTCTAACTCTCCCCCTCTTTTCTCTATCTTTTTCTCTTCCTTTAAGTCTTCCTCTCTTTTCTCCCCCTTTTTTCTCTCTTTCTCTCTCTGCTTCTCCGTTTCTCTTCCTTTAAGTCTTCCTCTCCTTTCTTTCCCTTTTTTCTCTTTCTCTAACTCTCCATCTCTCTTCCTCTATTTTTCTCTCTTCCTCTAACTCTCCCCCTCTTTTCTCTATCTTTTTCTCTTCCTTTAAGTCTTCCTCTCTTTTCTCCCCCTTTTTTCTGTCTTTCTCTCTCTGCTTCTCCGTCTCTCTCTCTCTCTCTGGACGAATAATAAATCGTGCTGATCGGTTCGGCGAAATTGCTGAAGTTGGAGCAGCGAGGAATCTCGAGAGGGTTACAGTGCGGTAATTGAAAGAGGTAGATAACAGTCATCTAAGACCGCAATTTTCCACTTTCTGGATTGCGTAGAAACTTTTTCAAAAATCGAACAAGTATTTAAGACTCGAATAACTGCTCTCGTTCGAGGAATCCTCAAGGGAGCCACGAGTCCTAAAGACATAGGAGTGCCGAGGAAATCTGGCAAGGCTTCCGGAAGTCCTGAAGATGTACATGCAGGTGTACATATTCGGAGCAACTTGCGCAGATTTCGTAAGTCTAGAAGGTACGAAGATTCTCGTGGGAATTGAGGATTCTGTGGTATGAAGGGCGAAGTATTCCATCTGATCCCAGGTGATCCATTTAGTATCATAGTCGGGGAGATTCCGAGTGGCAGTAGGTTAGTAACGAGCTAAGAATGAAGAGGCTGCGTCTGGATCGTAGAGTTTCGCTTTCGTTGCAATTATCTCACTATTAGGAATTCCGAATTTTTCAGAGAATTTTCCAAGAGCTATGTGAACTTTAAGTTAACACGAAGAAACTAAGAACTTTTCGACACTCGAGTAATCACTTGAACGACCAGTTCGCAAATTATCAAACATTTCGTATTATTTCATGTCTTCAGTGACAAAATAATCATTCGAAGAAACACCTATAGTCGTTCAATTTTGGCCATTTTTTTATTAAATAAAATACTGAAGTTACAGTCGAATATTCCATTCCTCGATCTTCAGTGATAAAATAATTATTCGAAGAAAACAGAGGAATATGTAGCTCACCTGTAGTCGCTGAATTTTGGCCATTTTTCATTTGAAAAAATACCCAAGTACCAGTCGAATATTCGTTTCCTCAATCTTCGTATTAAACGACCAAATAAAAAATTCTGTCTTCGGTGATAAAGTAATTACTCAATAAAAAAAAACATTGCACATGCATGGTTACTGAATTTTGGCCATTTTTCGTTAGAAGAACCACCCAAGTAACGATCGAATATTCTTTTCCTCCATCTTCACACCGAACGTCCCAAAAGTAAGTTATTTCTTGAACAACAACAAAAAATGCAATATACACGTAACTTATGGTCCCCGAAACCTGACCATTTTTCATTACAAAAACGAGCAACGATCGAACGTTCTTTCCCGCCGTCTAAGATAAAAGTGTCATCCCTCGGACCTTGTATCTTGTCTGATAAATGTGCTCTCGTGTTACTCGATTCCATTTTGTCTTTTCGGCCAACTGACAGTCAATTGACACTTGTGACGTTCGGTACACAGTGTGTTAACGGTGTTCTCAGTGTCTACGAGCCAAGTATGCCTGGCACGTTCCACCGGAGACTAACGTTTCCAACGCTTTTTACCCCGCCATCGACCCGACCACTCGACTTCCTCCTCCCCCCTCTTTCTTTGTCGCTTCTTATTTCTTTTTTTTCGCTCGCGTTCTTTGCACCTTCGCTCCGGAGGAGATTTATTGCCTCGCGCCGTCCATCCCGAGTTGCGGAACGGATTGAACGGAAAAATACGAGGTTGACGAGCTTCCGGCTGGATTTCTCTAATATGCATCCCGGCCAATTTCACGCTACTTGCTTTCCATGCATTTCGTGGGAATAAAATTTGGAAAAAACACTCTCGCGCCCTTTCTCGATACCGTGCTTTCTCTCGAGAGAAGCGAAGCTGGCGAACGCTCGTTCGGTGCGAGGTGAAGGAGACGAAGATTGCTTGTCACGCTCGATTTATTGTTAAAGGTTGAAATGAACCCTTTCGTTACTATTGGCTTAATTTAAGTTCCTGCCTTAGTTTAATGTTTAATGTTTATCCTTTACGCACTTCCATCTTGGTTTGGTAAACAGAATTTTTAAACGACACGGCCAAAATGAGAAATTTTGCGGTTGTGGTTAAAGATTTACCCTCAGTCACCCACGTTACGCGTTAAAATCTGCTGCAGCGAAAGGGTCAAGAAGAAGATGCGATATTGAGCTTTGTGGCTGAAGAAGTTGGTAGCTTGTGTGTGGAAGAAATAGAAAAAAGGACTAAAAAATTGTAAAACTAGTCCTTTGAAACTCGCAAAATATCCTGGTCGACACGTGTGCGTCCGAGTCTCTCGAGACTCGAAGAAAAAGCACAGAGAAAAATTGAAAGATAAAAGGTAAAAAATTGTGGAAAGTGAAAGTTTCGAGAAACCAGAAAACCTTGAAAATATCATCGTCGACACGTATGCGTCCAAGTCTCTCCAAACTCAAAGAAAAAACAGAGAAAGATGAAAAGAAAAATGGCAAAAAATTGTGAAAAGTGAAAATTTTTGGAAAAAAACCTTGAAAATATCCTGTCAAGGACATCGCGATAGTGACGTAAATGTTTCCAATTTCCTTCTCCACACACTTGACACCATCAAAATTGGAAAAGAACGAAATCTCCATCTTTTATAAAACCAGCAAGAAATCATTCTGCCTTTGAAGAAGAAGTAGAAGCATACGCGAATATGTTTTATTCATCGTGCTCTTTATTTCTCTGGACAAGGAGAAGACGTTGACGGAAAAGCTGGCACAATGCGTGTATCCCGTATGAATTGGAAAAATCACGAAGGCTGTTTCGCTCCGCGCGACGATTTATGGCCGCATGATGCGTTTCCATTGAAATTTGATTAACGACCGTGTGTACGGGAAGGCAAGATCGCTGGATTCGTTCCTGTACCATCATTTGGCGGCAATATTCGCGGGCAGGAAGATTGATTCGATTCGATTCACCGACCTAACGTCTAAGAGCTTCCCTCTCTTTCTCTTTTCCTATTCGAGACTTCCAATTGTTTCTCCGAAAGGATAAATTGTCCACGGTAGAACTCCTCTGGAGAAAATCTTCGTTAATTGTACGCAGCCAAATAAAACGGGTTAAATTGCAGGAATAAAAACATCGAAGTAAGCAAGCATCGTGTTTCTCCGTTGAAATTCCACCTTGGAAATCGTATTTATTTCAGCGTTTCCTCGGCTTAATCACCGGAAATTTCGTCCCCCTTTGGCGGAGTTTGTCAAAGAAAAACGCCGTCGGTAAAGTGGAGAGTTGTTTCATAACAAAACGCTAATAAATTACGCAAGAAGTCGCGGTGCTTTTACGCGGTGCCACGAGACGGACTGAAGGGAGAAAGAGACGCGCGTATGTTGGAGGGAAGGTTGGAAAAAGTTGGCAAGAATTCTCGCTCGTGTTTGGGGAAAATGTACCCGAAGGAAAATAATTCCGGTTTACCAACAGCCTGCGCCGTATAATTTTCATTTCTTCCTTTCCTTGTTTCACTCTCGCATCTTTTATGCCTGACGAATTAAACCGCGGAGCCCTTTCTTCGCCACGCGCGAATACCTGGTTGTCGCGATGAATTCCACCTTTGGACGAGGTGAACGCCGTAACTGGGTCGAAATAAACGTGGCCGTCTTATGAAAACGGAAGAAATCTTCAGAGAGAAGGTTTTCACTCGGTTGGAAAATGTTTAGAAGTTTTCTGTGGTGGAGGGTGTGTGACCTTGAGCTGCTGCAGAATCGGCACAGGCTATAGCTTGCGTACGGTCACTTATCACGAGCTTAAACAACCTTATTAATGGGAATTTTGGAACGAAACTTTACAGTCTTAAGGATGTAGGTTTTCTAAACACTTTAGAGATAATAACTTTCACTTGAAATCTTTGTGAAGTTGATTTTTAACGTGTTAAACCGATCTTTGCAGCAGATTTTCAACCGAGGCCGCAAAATCTTCTATTTCGGCGTTTTTAAGTTTTCTGAAAAATTGAAAAGCGCGCCCTTTCGAAAATTAAGGCGGAATTACGCAAAGGTCAAACATTAGAAACTAAATTGGCGCCAGTAGAAACGCCTATAGGCGCGAATATTTTCGTGACACACTCAAGTCCTTAAAAACGAGTTCTCCATTATTGTGGACAGCCTTTAATTTGCTGAACAAACAAGCACACACGCTTCTCCGTGGAACGTACGTCGCAAATTGAACTCGTGGAGCAATTAAATTAGATTGAAGCAGGAACAAGTATTCTTAACAAGTCCACGAGGCACGCGTATCTCGAATATCGATCTCCGGCGATGAAGATACAACGCGGAGGAAGTGTTTTCGTCCGGCGTTAAATTTCCCAATGATAATTCGTGTTTACACGCGGCGGCGGCGGCTCCGCATAATTAGTTTGCTCGGCGTAATTCCGCGGCCGTTACTTCTCTCAAACGAAATTCGCACGCGGAGGCCGGAGTAATTTCGCAATTTTCGGATCGTAGACCAGAGTCGTCGGACGCGAAGTCTGACTCGTATTTAAGCCTCCGTTCTCCACTCGGGAGAGTCGAGGCGCCCCGATGGCCTCCTTCGACGGTCGTAAAGTAGTATCAGAGAGGAGAGGATGGAAAGTTAGCACGGTCCTCTGATAGAGTTAGACGTGATTTGAATAACGGTGAGGTGAAAGCCTTCGAAATTCCACATTTTTACATCCTCGATTTATCACACCGAGACCGCGGACAACTTTCTCTCTCGATTATTCCCAGGAAATTGGGAAACATATTTTTTACGCTAGCTTCTCTGTTCTTCTTCGCAAGATTCTGGAGTTTTTTAAACTTCAGACTTTGGTTTTACGGTTCATCGAGATCGCAGGAGGCTTTTCTTCGTATTATCTTTAAATACTAGAAATTGTTGAAATTAATATAAATATGGAGAAATACTTTTTGCCTTACTTTTTCTTCTATTCTTTGAGAAGATTCTGGAACTTTTTAAACTTCAGAGTTTTATCTCGCTGCTTATTGAGATCGCAGAAGGCCTTTCTTCGTTTATCTTCCAACGCGAGAAATTGTTGAAATTAACATAAATACAGAAAAATATTGCGTTACTTTAGAAATTTCTGCGAACTTTTTTAATTTCAAATTTCTATTCAAGTTAACTATTTTCGCTCATTTTCAAATACAGAAGCCTTATTTTTCCCTCGTTCTCGAGACGATAGATTTTTCAATACTTAAGGAGTTCGAGTAAACCATATTCGATCCCAAATCTACTGACCCAGAGGCGAGTTTCCATTGGCTCGTATTTACGGGTAGCCGGGCTGTTCTTCACCTCTTCGATACTCCATCGTGTAATTACGTTGGACGCCCACACACACACACACACACATATACAGAGAACGTAGGAGGTTTAAAAGTTTAAAAGGTTACTCTGGCCTGAAGTTCACAAGGCTCGTTAACGATTTTATTACAATTACATACCCCTGATCACTTACCTGT